AATGATGATGAAGAAGATGCATCACCAACAAGAGCAGGAGCGGGCGAAGCAGCAGGGGAGGAAAGGAAGAAGAAAGACGACCACAACGACAACGAACACGGCAAGAAGAAGAAGAAGAAGAAGAAGAAGAAGAAGACCGGGAGAGAAGAAGAAGGAGAAGAAGAGATTACAATAACTTTTTGGTTTTCAACTTTTCGTATAAAACTGTGGCTTGCAGTACGTGAAGGCTTAGCTCATTCTCTAAAATGATCGGCTACCACTTGGGTTTCGCCCGGAATCGAGTGCCCAAGCATCAGCCTAGGGACCCTTCATGTACAGAAGGCGGGTTTCGGGTCAGATACCGTGATAAACAATGCCCATGAGTTCTATTTGGCGAACATGGCAGATGTCGACCTGCCAGTAGTTCTGTCTGAATGGAAATTTGGAGTGACTCAGTGGTTGAAGGAAGTTTGTATTGGTTAGGAGGGGAGTTGGGGTGGGGGATAGTCCGAATAGGAGAGCGTTTCGGGACCAGTGAGCTTGGACTGGGGCTCTATCTCTGGGGGTGATGGAGGGTTCTTTACCCTGATTGGTCTATGCCTTTGCTCACAGAAATAAGTCTTCCATCGTAAAATCATTGAGGGAAAAAAAGAACAAACCCCTTCTTCCAATCTCTCAGCTGCATCAGGCTTTATGCTTCTCACCTTTTTAACCTTTTTTTGGTGTTAGACGGGACCTTGTCTGCCTGCAGGTGGTGCTAAGGAACTCCCGACCATTTGGCGGCACTGGTTCTCCCCCTTCTCCCCCGCCCCTCCCCCTAAAGGCTGTCTTTTGATCTACTGGAGGCTTGTGAATTACCATGATATCACCCCTTAAACCACCAGTACGTCTGGAGAGTTCAAATGAGCCTCTCCACAAAGTTAGGGGACTTGTGACATGGCCCGCCTGGGGGAGGGCGGATTTTTTTACCTTTTTAAGGGCTGGGTCTAATGCCACCCCACGACATGGGACAATTTCTTTTCCTACTGGCCCTTTGGACGCCCTGTCCCAAGCCTCCGAAATTGTAGGAGAGGCCTGCGATTCTGAACTTGGCTGGGGCCTTGTACTGGTGGTTTAACCCTGTACTGGTGGTTTAACCCTAAATCCTTAACCTTAAACTTTAGACCCTAAACCCTAAAGCCTTAACCCTACCCTAAACCCCAAACCCTGCAATCTCCTATGTGGAGGAAAGGAAGAAAACACGTAGAAATATGCTGCGAGGGGTGGGTGAATCCTACTGCTAACCTTGTATGGCATGGACGCTGGGAGTGATTGGCGCCTGCTGAAGGGATTGGGCAGAGGTAAAACTGCCTCCCTTAAAACTCAGAAGGTCAGATCAGATTTTTGGTCCGATGCTGCAAATCTCCAAGTTGGCCAATCAAGCCGATGAGAGAAGCTGAGGTGGAAGACTCTGCATGGATGACACAGTCAGATCGTGCAGCGCATTGTTGATTGGTTGCCTTTAAAAGGGCCTTGCTCCACTACTCTCGAAATGTGCAAAACGAGAGTGAATCTTCCGCTAGAACAAGGAAAGATACATCGCCATATCTTTTGTCTTTTGTGCATGTCGAGAGTAGTGGAGCGATGCCCAAAGACTCTAGCAAGCTGCACTGGACACCCCCTAGGACAAACAGTGAAAGATCAGATGAATATTTACTCATTAGTTGACACTGTCCGTCGTGGAGGCTAAGCGCAGGAATGGTTTACACAAAAGTGTTAACCAGAACAGAAGCCAGGGTGAGTGAGAGGGAGGGAAACAGGAGGAGGAGAAGGTCAATCACACTTGTTGAACTAACTGGCACACCTTTGGAGGTGGCTCATAGGTCCTTGCAGGAATGAAGGAGAACTTAGTAAGCTTCCTATGCATTTGATACAAACTGCATATGAGGTGGGAGTAGAACTTGGGCGGGTAAGGTAAATGAAGAAGTGGAAGGTAGGGTAGAACAAGGAGAAGTACAACCTTAGGCGGGTACGATAGACAAACGAGAAGGAGAACTTAGGCGGGTGTGTTAGACAAAGGAGAAGAACCTACGGCGGGTATTTTAGACAAACGAGAAGTAGAACTTAGTCAGGTATGGTAGCCGAAGGAGAAGTAGAACTTAGGCGGGTATGTTAGACAAAGGAGAAGTAGAACTTAGGCGGGTATGGTCGATGAAGGAGATGTAGATCTGAGGCGGGTATGGTTGACGAAGGAGAAGTAGAACTTAGGCGGTTATGGTCGATGAAAGAGATCTAGATCTTAGGCGGGTATGGTTGACGAAGGAGAAGTAGAACTTGAGCGGTTATGGTAAACGAAGGAGAAGTAGAATTTAGGAGGCGGCTATGGTTGACGAAGGAGAAGTAGAACATAGGCGACTATGGTAGACGAAGCGGAAGTGGAACTTAGGCAGGTATAGTAGCCAAAGGAGAAGTAGAACATAGTCGGGTATTCGAAGACGAAGAAGAAACGTAAGAACTTAGAAAGGACTCGCATATGGGGCATAGTAGAGTAAGGAGAAACGTAAGGATAAACGTAAGGGAATATTCACACTAGGACTGTTTGAGTCTATTTCGACTGAATCGGGGCATAATTACGTTCAAATGCATCCAGGAGAGTCCTCATGTGAGGACGCTATAAGACGTTCTCACCACTGAGTCAGGGGAGGCAGAACATAACATTATAGGATTTGAGTCATGGGACCAGCGTTGGGCACCAGTCCTACTTCTTCCTTTAGGAGATGGTTGGAGTAGGTTGGAGCAATGACAGTGAAGTGTTTTTCGAAGATCTTGAGAACGGACCTGGTCCACAGGATGATCAGGATCGATTTGGGCTTGACTAGTGGGCATATCTCCCAAGTGCTTCTGAGGGCTCAGGACCTCATTAAGTGTGTGATAAAATAATGTGGACTTTTGTCTTCTATTTTTTCCCCCTCTCTTTCTACCTCTATATCCCCCATTTTTAAATCTTCTTCGTGGAAATGTGCTGGGGTTTTATCGTCTGTGTGCGGTCTCCTCTTCTCCCCACCCCTGCGCCCCCTACGACCTTGTGGTTGCAGATTAATGCCCATGAAGCGATGCCAGTCGAGGACTACCAATGGCGGGCGACACCAGACGTGACATGGTAGGAAGCAGGGCTGCAAAGAGGGCTTGCTCAAGCAATTACCTCACTCAAGTTTTAGTCTGCGAGCAACATCTTCCTTATCCTCGAAAGAAGATGTTCCTTGTTCCACGAACAAAGACTGTCTTGGCTGTTGCCTGGGGCCATGTTCCCTGGACCAAGAGCTTGCCCACTTGTTGCCATTAAGGTAGTCCTGGAACAAAAAATCCAGGAGCAAAGAACTGCCTAACCATTGGCCTGGGGGTCTATTTTTGGATTAAGAGCTTGCTGCATCCTGATGGGGGATTCAGTGGTCCAGGAACATGGGCATACCCACTTGGGTCCACTGGTCTTGGAAGAAAAAGCGGGCTCTTCCGATGCGCAGATGCTAATCCTGGAGCGAAGGACTGCCTAACCATGGGCCCGGTGGTCTATTTTTGGATTAACCATTTACCACATGCTGCTGGGATTCACTGATCCTGGAACTAAAAATTGGATCTCCCGATGGTCCTGGAACAGAAACCGGGCTGTTCTGATGTGCAGATGTTAATCCTGGAGCAAAGGACTGCCTAACCATCGGCCTGGCGGTCTATTTTTTATTTAAGAATTTTCTGCATACTGCTGGGATTCACTGGTCCTGGAACAAAAATTGGGATCTCCCGATGGTCCTGGAACATAAACTGGGCTTTTCCGATGTGCAGCTGCTAAACCTGGAGCAAAGAACCGTCTAACAATCGGCCTGGTGGTGGTCTATTTTTGGACAAAGAATTTCCGGCATGCTGCCCAGTTTAAACCTCGGTCTCGACTAACGGTGGTCCCCCCCCCCCCCC